GAAAGTAGTGTTCTCCAAACTGAAAGATCCCAGTCAGCTGGCTCGGCGCCCGACGACAGTCCTCGCGGAGCGCGTTGGCACCGAGCAGTCCCTGCGGGCGGTGAACGCCTAGCCGCGGACACCACCCTCCGCAGACGGCGGCGAGACCGCGGTCACCAACACTTCGGTCCTCCGCCCGGGCGGGCAGCGCGCAGGAGGAGGGCTCGGAAGAGCCAACTTTCGCTCGGCCGAGACTCGCCGAGTCTGCTCCGAGGGCCACCCCAGAAAGCACCCGACACCTCTCCTGGCCAGTGCAGTCCGCCCCGGCCCGGCCCGGCCCCCCGAGGAAACCCCCGAAAGGGCGGCGGCTGGCGAGCTGCTTCAAAGAGGGGCTGGGTCTGCGGAGAACTCGGGCGCCGAGTCCGTGGGCCAGCATCCCCCGACCCCCGGCACCCCGGACTCCGGGGCGCCCCTGCTGAGCGGCTGTCCCACCTCCAACAGCCCCCCTCCCCGCGGCGCGGCCCCCTCCCCCAACCCCGGGCGGCGACCTCAGCGCCTCCACCCAGGCGCCCCCGCTCACCCAGGTAGCGGCTCCGCAGGCGGGACGGGTCCTCCAGCCCGAGCGATCTTTTCCTTACGTCCCACAACAGGTGTGTGCAGCAGCCACCCCGAGACATGGCTCTGCGGGAGCCGGGGCAGGAGGGGAGACCCCCCCGAGTGGGGGAGGGGAAGAGAGGGAGGGGACACGCGGATCAACAACCAAGCCGCACCGGCACCATCCGCGCGCCGAGCCTCGCAAGCACGGCGACTTTAGATAGCGGCGGCCCCTACCGCCGCCGCCGCCGCGGCCCCTTCGCCTCCGAAGCCCGGCCGCACCCCGGCCGGAGCTAGCCTCATACTCTTCCTCACACTACCCAGAACATCCAGAAATCAGCAACACTCCCCTCCCTCCGCCCCCTCCGGCGGGAGGCGGAGCCGAGCGAGACTCCTCCCACTCCTCGTCCTCGACGCCCTCCCCTTCCGGCGTTTCTCGCGAGAGGACGACCCTCTCCGAGAGTGAGGCCAGTCCGGGCCACGACTGCCCTCACTCTAGGGACCTGGTTTCAGGCCGTTCTAGTCACATGTTTCATACTCGGTGGATTAAAAAAGATGTGAAGCGTGAAGGATACAGCATCCGTAGTCTCTTCCACACAAGCCTGAAGTCACCAAAAAGGAAAAGAATCGCGCAGCGTCATCTTTAGTAAGGGCACGGAAGGCCCGAAAAGCCCATTTTGCACTATGGGCTCCCTTAATCCAGGTGAAGGGACGTGAAAAACCGTTGTAGCTTCACTTTCCCTTCTCCAACATGGCTTCGAGGGCAAAAAGGAGAAGTTAGAGGTTCCCACCCAGCCCGGCCCACGCCGCGGAGCGAGCCAATCACCAGGGACAGCTCCGTTCACGCAAGCGCGAACGCTTTAACCACTGTGCCACCAGGGCTTCTT